AAGACCCAAAATCCCACCTCTGCACTTAAAAACATTCAAAACACCAAGATCAGTTTTTTTGAATGCTTTAAATTTTTTTAAAATGGCACCGTTTAGTGCCAAGTAAACTGGAAGTGATATCAGGTCATCACTTCCAGGTTACTATAGCAGATAGCCAATTAAAGCCAGTCCTGGCTTTGTTCAGCTGTCCAGCCATCCGGCGGAAGTGCCGGCTGGTCACTCAGATCTCCCAATGGGACAGGAGAGCCCGAGAGAGCTGCAAAAGGCGTTCCAATTGCTCTTACAAGAAAGCCGACCACTGGCTCCTAAAAAACAGTACCGGGCTGATGCCTACAGGTGCAGGTATCACCCTGGTATAACTGCTTGAAGTCCAGCGATGTATGGATACGTCGCTGTTCTGCAAGTGGTAAATTAACCCCGTTATGCTACGGCATGAAGGCGTTAATAAATGCTGCCAGTTGCTACTAATGCAGCAGAAAGGGGTTAATTAATACCTCCACTTCCTGCCAATGGGGATGATGTTTGAAATAGCACTGCCACTGACCATCAGTGCAGAGAGATTAAAGGAGAAGTATAGGCAAAGTTTTCGTACTTCTATAGATCACAGGAGTGCAGTTTGTTTTGCACTCCTGTGACCTGTTTTCAGCTGACAGCAGCATACCGTCAGATGGATGTTATATTTAGTGGCATGTAAAATGTGCACTAGTTTTTTTTTTGTTTGTTTGTTTGTTTCAACCCTATCACGGTGACATTGTGACACATTTGTATCCAAGAAATAACCAGATTTATGACAACACAGGTTGTCGACAGGTCAAGTGGTATGTCTGTGAAATTGAGGTTTATATCCTGGAAATGATACACCGTTTATTTGTTTTTTTGTATAAGATTAACACCTTGGTCACATCAAACCCTACTTTGAAATCGTGCGACTTACAATGAAGTTGCACAATTTCAAAGTCAGATGACATCCCGATTTCAGGTGTGATTTGCAAGACATCTAACTCAGATGTCTATGCAAATCGCACCAAAAGTAGTGCATGTACTACTTTAGAAATCGGTGCGGCTCCAACCAAGTCGGAACCGCACCAATATGACCACTCTAATTGCGGACAGTAGGCTGTGATTTAGCATGTCGTATGTACTCCCCAGTGCCTCAGGATATGCACAGCCAAAAGGGAAGCCAAGGGTACCAGGACAGCGACAACCAAAGGAAATGCTTCAGGGGTGCAGCCCTCCTCAGACGGGGAAATCAGCCACTGGATAGAGAAAACAGGTGGCGCACACACCTAGTGCATTATCCAAGGTTTATTGTAGGAGTGAAAGAATAATAAAAACATACTCACAGACGAAGCATGTATCTAAAAAGCATAGAAAAATGACAATGCCCACAACGGCAGGCAAGGTGTTCTCACTGTCAGTGCAGTCAAATGGCTGACGCGTTTCGGGGCTGAATCCCTTTCCTCAGAGCCGATGACCAACCTCCTTGCTGCTCTTGATTTCTTCACATGTGTGTTTGCCTGTGCTCACCTCTCCTTCTGTGATTTAGCATGTGACTTGCAAGTCGCATGGCATGCAAATCACATGCCAATTTGCATGACTGGGGTGTAATGGATATAAGTATTCATTTTAATACTGATTGTAAAAGAATTAGCATTGTAGAGGAAGATGAAAAGAGAAGAGGAAAAAAGAAGTATGACCAAACTTTTTTTTAGCCTGATCTCACATATGTGTGGGCCCGGTTTGCAATGTGATTTGTTAAAGACTCTGGTGTGATTTTGTTCAGCGGTTCAGGTGTGTTTCCAATGCGGATTGTTAAATCACACCTTAACAGGCCTGAAAATTGCACAGGACTGTTTTACAAATCGTACTCTGGCTAGCCCCCACATACAGTATGTCAACCGGCTCCATAGAAAAAGTCTTTGGTTAACATGTCATGTAAATCGAATGCGTTTAAAAATGCATCCAGGTTGCATATATGAGAACCGGGTCTTATGGCTATACTTCGCTTTTGGGTCACAGGAGTATATTTACGAATGTAGTTCTGTGACCCAGAGTCAGCTGATAGTGGGCTATGGCCTGCAGAGTTAAGCAAAAGACAGTGGGCAAAGCTGACAACACTCTATTCATGTGTGTTGTCATGTCTCAACATAGCTAAATGCATTTCTAGCAGACCATCTGGTATTTTTCGGTATGTGCACAGCCTTTAAAGAGATGTGCATGTATTACAGAGAAGTAACCTATATGATCTTTTTGTTTCACTTCTCCTTGACATATGCTTTCAATAACAATGTTTAATTCACAATGATGGTAAATAATAGGTTAGTAAGAGGTTTTGTTTTACCCCAGTCGCTAATGTGCATGCTTTGCTGGTATGTAGCAAAATGGAGTATTTATAAAATAATCAATCTTCTGGTCTGGATACTGAAAAATGGAAAAGCCCGAAAAAAAAAAAAAAAAAAAAAAAAAAAACACGGCGGGGGCAGTAAGGAAGGGTTACCGGGTGAGAAAAGAGAACACAATTTGATTATTGAAAACCATAAAAAGGGTACCAGAGAACAGGGGAGAACACAGAGAGAGGCTAGAGGTCAACAAAGAAAGGCATGTCTTGGGAAAAAGAGAACATGCTGGAGAACTGGAAGACAGTAAAAAAAAAGGTGCCAGAGAAAAGAAGCCAGCATGTCAGGGGACTGAATATAGCATCAGGGTAGAGGAAACAACTTAGCTTGGGGCTAAGGTAAAGGAAAAAACACATTAAGGACAGGGGGGCAGTTCAGTGGTGTACCTAGCACATTTGGCACCTGGGGCTGATCATTTCTTTTGCACCCTTGCACACACCCCCCCCCCCCAAGAAAATTGGCAAGGTAATATAAAGTGGAGTGCTTTGTGTGTTGTGTCGAATTGTGGGGGAGTAATCCCATATCCCTCATCCCATATAGAGTCCTCAGTAAAGACATTTCCCTCTTTACCCCAATCCCATATAAAGTCCGTATAAACCCCCTCATCATATATAGAGCCAGTATAGACCGTTTCCCCCAATCTCATATAAAGTCAGTATAGACAGGTCCCTCAGAAGCATATATTTCTCCCCTCCCTAAACACACTCACCATATGGGGTGGGAGCTGACAGTGAATGGAAGTCCCACTCTTGGCTCTGCCATATGAGCTGAGAGGGGAGGAAACTGCCTCTCAATGTGAGCTGCAGCTGTCAGTGAAGCAATGGCTGCAGGCTCGGCTGACATTTCTTCAACTTGCTCGCCTCTACGGTGGGAAAGATAGCAGTACAGCATCATGCAACCCAAAAAAGAAATGTCATCCGAGTCTGCAGCACCTGGTCAACAGGTGAGTGGGTGCCGGAGGAAAATGGAGAGGATAAAGGTACTACCAGTATTGGCAGTAGATAGAGAGTAAAATGCTGTACTTCAGTACATGGGTGTGTGTTATGCTGCTGGAAGATAGGAGTTTGGTTGCAGCCAGAGGACGGCTGAAGCATAGACTTCAGTAGTAGACTGGCTAGCAAAGTGGTGTCTTGGGGAAGGGGAATAGGTTAGGGGGAAAACAACCATGGGTAGTAGAACAGATGCATCTGGAATCCAGATTACCAAACTGGATATGGGAGTATTATTTATTTATTACAGGTACTTATATAGTGTTGTCAGTTTACACAGCACTTTACACACATATATTGTACATTCACATCAGTCCCTAACCCTCAAGGGGCGTACAATCTAAGGTCCCTAACTCACATTCATACATTGGCCAATTTAGACAGGAGCCAATTAACCTACCAGCACGTCTTTGGAGTGTCAGAGTAAACCGGAGTACCTGGAGAAAACCCACGCAGGCACAGGAAAAACATGCAAACTCCAGGCAGGTGGTACCGTGGTTGGGATTCGAACCAATGACCTTAGTACTGCCAGGTGGAAGTGCTAACTATTTAGTGGAAGAGGGAGAGTGGGTACATGTGGGGATAATAAAGTAAATATATGCAGCACCAAAATACATCAAGTAAAGTGTATCAAATGACATACATCAATACTTAAATACTTAAAAACAAAAAATATATTGTGACAGAAAGAAATACCATAGTCAAGTGTGAAATATTACATCTTGTTTAGTACCAATATAAATGTGCAAACAAGTCCTTTGACATAAAGTCCATAAAACATGAATCCTTCACCAACCAATCCTGATCAATGCCAAATCCTTCAGTGTATGTATATACACCAAACACCACCAACTCATGCAATGGACACTCATCAAAAATGAATACTACAAGAGGCGTAGCAAACACTGCGTATTATTTCAGGTAAAAACCATCCCAAATGCAGCTCACGGTCATCTCCTTTCTCCAATACTTTAATGGTTGAACTGGATGAACTTGTCTTTTTTCAGCCATACTAACTATGTTACTATATCGGTCAAAGCTGTGGCAAATAATGCACACACAGAAGCAAAGTAACATGGTAATGGTGTAGGACTTTATTTATTAAAACATGTCACGTTCAATGCCTCCTTCATAAAGTAAGTTAAAACAAACTCACATGTAAAGCCGCTGCATGATCTCTGTCGACAAGGGCTTTACTTGTGAATTGGAAGCAGTCTTTGTTTTAGCTTACCTTACAAAAGATGCATTGTATGTGACATGTTTATGAAGGATGCACTGTATGTTTTAATAAATAAAATCCTACTCTATTATTGCATTTTGTTTGGATAAAGCAGATTAGGGATGGTTTTTATCTGAAAGAATACGATGTCTTTGTTATGCCTCTTGTATCACTATTTTTCAGTGAGTTTCCATTGCATGAGGTGGTGGTTGGTGTATATCCATACACAAAAGGATTTGGCATGGATCAGGATTGATTGGTGGAGGATTCACATTTTATGGACTTTATTTCAAAGGACTTGTATGCACATTTGTATTTATATTGGCACTAAGGAGCATTTACTATTTCATGATGAACTTTGTTTTTTTGTCACATAATATTTTGTTTCAAATGTTACTAAACCCACAACAGTAAAATCAGTCTGTATATGCAGTAAAGCATGCTTATTATACTCACTGTGGTACCTGAGGGGTTAATCTTCTGCATTGTGTAAAGAGGATGTTTGATCCTGTCTTCTCTGATCCTTCCATTCTTCTACTGTCCCCAATATATCTCCTGATAGGACAAAGGCTTGGAGGCAAAGCTGCACATGCTCAGTTTGGAGTGTATTGCTAGAGAGTTTTTTCTTGGGAGAGTGCATGTGATCAGCACAGGGCCAATCGGCACTGTCCAGGCAGAGGGTCAGGGGCCCTATAGCCTCGTAGAGGAGATAGAAAACTCCTACAAGCCTTAACCAGTGCTCTTCTGCACACTGACAGAAGTCAGTAGACTGCTGTAGCCGCTGATGAGAAAAGGTATTTAGCAGTTTTTATTTATTAAAATTATTGCATTTCCATGTTCTGTGTACTGTGGGAGACCAGATATAGTGAATGTAGGGTCCTGGGTTTAGTAACACTTAGTACTGAGTATTAGTTTAAGTATTGATCTATGTTATTTGATGCATTTTAGTTGATTTATTTTGACAATGCATATAAACTGTATCCCGCTTTTAGGATCTGTGTATCAATCTGTTTTTTGCCAGCAGCCAGTTCATGCAACAGTGCAGACTAGAAATCTATACATGTGGGGATGCCATAAGAACATTTAGTGGTCTAAAGTGAACAAAGCTTTCATTGTAAGAATAACAACCAGCCTGAGCTAGACTCTAGCTACTTAGCTGCATTTTGAGGCAGCCTGTAGTTCTCCAAATTTCTTCAGTATTTTTCTGAACAATCCTCACGAGTGGATGAAAGAGAGAAAAAAGAAAAACAAATCATGGAATACTGCATAAACTAAAAAATATAGCCAATGTTCACCATTACACTTGCATTTAAAGAATCAATTGCAAGCTCAGATGGACATGAAATCCTCTCAAACAACCCCCAGCAATACTTCCTTAGTAATCCACAAACTCTCGCTCATGGATGGATGGTGGATGCAAAGAAAAAAAGGGGGAGAGCCTAATAGCATAATACTGTATAAAGCCTTTAATATAAAAAATGTTTTTCCATATTGTACTCACACTTTAAAAGAATAAAAAAAAGCCTTTAATAGATATAATTTCCTTCAGACAAGCTGAAAATCCATTATGGCATGTAGAATGATCATAATGGCATAGAGAGAAATGAACTGGCAGCAATCAGGGAATTTTGCCTGTCTTGCCCACATCAAATATGGCCACGGAACGCCGAACCAGAGTGCGTTCCACTCACCAGACGTGACGTCACACGTCGTGGATCGAAAACCGGAAATTAAGTCAACGCGTTTCACCCCTCCTCCAAGGTGTCATCACGGACCCAGAATCTCCGGCTTTAATGCTAAATATACCTAATGAGCACTCCTCCTCCCCCTATGATTCAGAATTAAAACTCTATAAGAGATTCATAGATGACATCTATATTGTATGGGAAGGCACTTAAGAATCATTAAAGGAGTTCATCGAGCAAATGGGTAGGAATAGATTTAACTTATCATTTACTGAGACTATTAATGTAGATTCTGTTAACTTTTTGGATTTAACGATTTTCAAACGGGGGAATAGATTGTACACACGCACACACTTCAAAGAAGTTGATAGAAATGGTTACATTCCCTTACACAGTTGTCAATACCATTGATGGCTCAAAGCTCTTCCTAAGAGTCAGTTTACACGGATAAAACGGAATTGTGATGAACAAGATGACTATAGGAAGCAGACAGATATGTTGATTGAGAGATTCAAGGAAAAAGAATATAAAAGTAAGGAGATCAGAGGCAAGATTGGGAATTAGGATAGGAATGATCTGTTTAAGAAGAAAGTGCATAAGGGTAAAAATTTTGATATGGCTTTTATAACTGGTTTCTCTAAACAACATAGATTAGTTGAGAATATTTTTAGAAGACATTGGTCAATTTTGTTACATGATGACACATTGGTTAAGTTTCTACCTAGGAATCCCAAGTTTATCTATAGAAGACCACCTACTCTTAGAACGAGATTGGTAAAGAATGTCCCAGATCCACCTCTCAAGAACATCACCTTTCTTGATCAGGTGGGCTTTTTTACATGTGGCAGATGTATAGCATGTAGGGTTGTGGGGGTCACAAAAAATAGAAAAAACTTTGGAATTTCAATCCCAACTGAAAGGGGACATTTATAAAATTCGGAGTTCATTTCATGCAATAGTAATTATGTCACATATCTTTTGTAGTGTCTGTGCCATCTGCAGTATGTAGGGAGAACTACTAGAAAATTGACTGTGAGATTAGGGGAACATATTAGAAACATTAAAAAAGGTTTTAAACATCATAGTTTATCCTATCACTTTAGGAAATTCCATAATAGAGATCCATCTTTGTTCAAGCTCTGTGGGATCGATAGAATCGATCCTCATTGGCCTGGTGGCGATAGGAGGAAGTCGGTCTCACAGAACAAAACAAAGTGGATCTTGTAGTTAGGTTGTCTGGTCCCTAGGGGGCTCAATGTTGATATAGACATGAATTGTTATTTATCTAATTGGTAATTTTTGTGGGTAATGATCATTGAGGTATAATATATTATTGAGTATATTTAATTTTCGTCATTTAAGAGAAAAAATATATATATTTTTTGTTTTCGGATTTTTTTTTATTTTTGAATTATTTTTTTTTTTTTAATTTTAGTAGGATTTGTTGTAGTTTTTTATTATTTAAGTAATGATAGCCTAAAATCTTTGTAATATTCTTTAAATATTTCTTTAAATATATTCATATATTGTTGTGATGTGAATTGTATCATCTATGGTGGCAATTTCAATTGAGAGGTGAATTTGCAGTAAGGTGAGTTTCTTTCCATGGTAATACGATCAGGAGGGGTGTGTATAAAGGTAGTAATTAAAGTTTTCCCACCCATTGAGAAATTGGCGAATCATAGGGTGAGGAGGAGTGCTGTGAGGTATATTTAGCATAAAAGACGGAGATTATGGGTCCGTAACGACACCTTGGAGGAGGTGCGAAACGTGTTGACGTAATTTCTGGTTTTCGATCCACAATGTGTGACGGCACGTCCGGTGAGTGGAACGTACACTGGTTCGGTGTTAAGCGGCCATGTTTGATGTGGGCAAGACAGGCAAAATTCCCTGATTGCTGCCTGTTCATTTCTCTCCATGCCAATATGATCACTATACATGCCAAAATAGATTTTCAGCTTGTCTGAAGGAATTTATATATATATTAAAGGCTTGTTTTATTATTTTAAAGTGTGAGTGCAATATGGAAAAAACATTTTTGTATATTAAAGGATTTATACAGTATTATGCTATTAGGCTTTCCTCCTTTTTTTCTTTGCATCCACCATCCATCCATAAGCAAGAGTTTGCGGATTACCAGGAAAGGATTGCTGGGGGTCGTTTGCATGGATTTCATGTCCATCTGAGCTTGCAATTGATTTTTTAAATGAGTGTTATGGTGAACATATATATATACATGAACATAATATATGAACATAATATAATATATGAACATAATATATAGCTATATTTTTTAGTTTATGCAGTATTACACGATTTTGTTTTTTCTGTTTTCTCTCTTTCATCCACCCGTGAGGCATTGTTCAGAAAAATGCTGAAGAAATTTGGAGATTCGTTTAGTGTTAAACAATTGTGGAGATCTCAACTCACACCCAAAGTGTGTGTCTGATTCCTAAAGCCATTACCCACTTGGTAATCACCTGATTGGGTGAGGGTGGGTGAATATTTGAATTACTACAGATGATTTGAACACGTTGGGAACTATATTCTTTTAGTAAGTTTTTTGAAACACGAGACTTTCTCTCTTAGAGACTTTATTTGGACTTTTTTTTTTTCTTTTTTCTTTTAATTGGTTTGCGCTGTTTTTATTTTTTGTTTGTACTTTGATGGTTTTTTTTTTTTCATCTTTTGAGCAGCAGCATTGTTTGATTGTGTGTTATTTCTTTGGTGCAGGTTATTTCACAATTTTTTTTTTTAGTCTGTAGTTCAGCATGTTATTTGATTATTAACATATAATAAAAAAAATAAATGTAGTATGGCAGCTATGCACACTGGGGACATGTACGAACTTTCGCAGTCTGTACAAGTGGTCTTTTGTGTTTGTGCTGTTTTGAATTTTTCCAAAGTCTGTGTTTATATTAGAGCAAGTATTGTTTACTACTCTTGCTAATATATATATCACAAAACTTTTTTCTGAATTGCATTATGCATTTAACACTGTCATATTCATTTTATTGTTTCAAACTTAGAGTTATTTCTACAATGATGATACTTTCAACTTTAACTATGCCCAAGCCAAAGCTGCAGATGGAAACTACAAAGAGGCTGAGGAGGTAAGTTGATTTATTTGAAAGTCTTGCAAATTACACTATCAGTAATGTAAAGGAGACAGTTCTTAAAATGGTGTTAAACCCAAAACCTAAAATGCAATATCTTGCAGCTTACCAATCATATGTGGTGGCTGCATTAGTTTTCTTTTTTTTAAGCTTTTTTTCCCCCTTTGTTTTCACCTGGTGATCTGGTCTGTAACACACCTCCTGTATTCGTGCCCCCACTCCCCACAGGGGGCACATTTGGACAGCAGCATCCTCATTCTGAGGGAAGGGGAGTGTTAAACATACTAGCAGTTTTATATACAGTAACAAATTGAAGCTGAACTCCAGCTAACACTTTTATAATCAGTTATAGAAAAACGTTTTTTTTTCGTTTCCTTTTAGGATAAAGGTGATAAAAATAAGTAAAATCTGATCATTGTAAGCACCCCTTTCAGTGGTAAATGGTTTGTATCATCCCTGTAACTGCAAGATAACTTTTCTGTTTTAAAAAAAAAAAAAGACTTGTTGGCTAGATCACCAGGTGAAAATAGAGGAAAGAAAACGAATACAAGCACCACACCTAAGAATTGGTAAGCTGCAATATAATGTGTGCTTTTGGGTTTAATACTGCTTTAAGATATTTTCAATCCATTCTTATCTTTTCATATCTGTGATCAGAGTAATATTCACAGGGAAAGGAAGCCTTATACCCTGGCCATGGACTACTTCTATTCTTAGGGAATTCCAAGACATCTGGAAGTTATAATTATTCCAGCATGTGCTAGGTTTACTTTGGCATTTGCTCTGAGTTACACTGGGAAAAATCCAGGAATGGACGGGGTGGCCCTTTCAATCATCCACCCGTTCTCCATTCATAAATCCTGTCCAATTCATAAAAGCTGTAGTATGACTTCTATAAATGGAGGAGC